GCGAGTTGGTTCCACAAAGCAGCACTTCATGGGGAGAAGCTGCTTGAGTGAAACTTACATCAAACCAATGGAATACAAAGGGAATGGGGGTGGTTTGCTACAATGTATGTGTTGCAGGGCTGATAAGGATGTTGACCCCCCACAAGCTTATTTATGATCAAAGAAAGGTGTGGACAGCCAAAACAATGAGGGACAAAGGCAAAGGAGTATATTTTAAGCAAATGTCAGTTTTATTTCATTAAAATGATGTGCGTTTTTTTAAAATACAACAAAAACAGAAAAATCTTTTGCTGGATAAAATGTCAGGTTCGGGTAGATTGGACTGGTAATCTTTAGTGAAACCGATGGTAGGTAAGTTGATCATTGGTCTGTTGTGCTTCCAAAGCAGATAATAGAAGTGTGATTGGAGATGACAATGATGGGAAACTGAGATGTGGTCGATCTGGTCATGTTGACAGTCAGATTGGATGTGTCGATGATGGAAAGCGGGTTAATGGCTGCACGGGAATGTAATAGCGAATGGGAGCTGAAATGTCTTCGGGTCATCTGCTTTGGTGATTTGGGGGAATAGTTAGAGATGTTCCAACACAAAGCTTGGAAACCTCTTGCCTCCTGGCCGTCTGCTTCAACAATTCAGGGGAATTGCCAGACATATTCCAACACAAAGTTTGGAAATCACCTGCCACCTGCTTCAACGATTTGAGGGAATCGTCAGAGATGTTCCGACACAAAGGTTGGTAACCTACTGCCTCCTGTTCGATTGCTTCAACGATTTGGGGGAATCGTCAGAGATGTTCCGACACAAAGGTTGGTAGCCTCCTGGTCGACTGCTTCAACGATTCAGGGGAATTGTTAGAGATGTTCTGACACAAAGTTTGGAAATCACCTGCCATCTGGCCATCTGCTTCAACAATTCAGGGTGTCATCAGAGATGTTCCGACACAAAAATTGGAAACCTCCTGCCTCCTGGCAGACTGCTTCAACGATTCAGGGGAATCGTCAGAGATGTTCCGACATAAAAGCTGGTAACCTCCTGCCTGACTCCTTAAATGATTTGGGGGAATTATCAAAAATGTTCTGACACAAAAGCTGGTAACCTCCTGCCTCCTGGCTGACTCCTTAAATGATTTGGGGGAATTGTCAGAAATGTTCTGACACAAAGGTTGGAAACCTCCTGGCCATCTGCTTTAACTATTCAAGAGAATCGTCAGAGATGTTCTGACACAAACGTTGGTAGCCTCCTGGCCAACAGTTTCAATGATTCAGGGGAATCATTAGAGATGTTCCAACACAAAAGTTGGAAACCTCCTGCCTCCTGGCCAACTGCTTCAACGATTCAAGGGAATTGCCAGAGATATTTCAACACAAAGTTTGGAAATCACCAGTTGCTTCAATGATTCGGTGAAATTTTCTGAGATGTTCCGACACAAAGGTTGGAAACCTCTTGGCTGTCTGCTACAACGATTCAGGGGAATCGTCAGAGATGGTCCCACACAAAGGTTGGAAAGCACCTTCCTCTTGGCCGTTTGCTTCAACAATTCGAGGGAATTGTCAGAGATGCTCCGACACAAAGGTTGGTAACCTACTGCCTCCTGTTCGATTGCTTCAACGATTTGGGGGAATCGTCAGAGATGTTCCGACACAAAGGTCGGTAGCCTCCTGGTTGACTGCTTCAATGATTCAGGGGAATTGTTAGAGATGTTCCGACACAAAGGTTGGTAGCCTCCTGCCTAACTGCTTCAACAATTCGAGAATTGACAGAGATTTTTCCAAGACAAAGTTTGGAAATCAACTGCCACCTGGCTATCTGCTTCAATGATTCGGGGGAATCATCAGAGATGTTCCAACACAAAAGTTGGAAACATCTCTGCCTCCTGGCTGACTGCTTCAACGACTCAGGGGAATCGTCACAGATGTTCTGACACAAAAGTTGGAAATCTCCTGCCTCCTGATTCAACAATTCGGGGTATTGCTAGAGATATTCCAACACAAAGTTTGGAAATCACCTGCCACCTGGCCATCTGCTTCAACGATTCGGGAGAATCATCAGAGATGTTCCAATCTGCAGATGGAAATATCCTCCTTAAAGAGGGCCGAGAATGTCGAGATGATACAACTTCCAAGGCAGATCAACTGTGGAACATGGGATCACGCTGAAGAGTACTCCTCAGTGGGACAATGGGGAGATTAAAAAGCAGCGCACAGATACTACACCACAGATTTGGCTCTGGGCTGAGAAACTGGTTTTTCATTGAAAAAAGGAGCCAAATTTATCTCATAATGTTTGTTCATCTACTCCCTGCTACTGGGAGTACAAAACACTAAATAAAAAAAAAAAAAAAAAACTCCAAATGCTGTTGAAATGTTAGTTAACACTCCCTTATCAGATAAAGTTAATGGTATTTTCTCACTCAAAATATATCAGGATAGTTGTTTAATTGCTAATTAACTACTGATTCAATTTCGGGTGTAAAAAGGTTGCAATGGTCAAGGTTGTCTTATTTGTTTTGTTCAGGAGTGGCCAGAGGCAGCTATGACAAAGCCTACCACCTAGATAATTGATTGTATCAATTAGTAATAGTAATATTGGCTAAGATTACTTGAGAAAGTGACCCTCCTTCCAGACCTGGTCTGTTGTACGGGAGGCGCTGAAGCATTGTCAAGGGTCTGTGGTGCTGGCTTAGTTTGATCGATCATGATAGTGTCACCATGTCTCATCGCAAGGTGCTTGTTGGTGTGGTGAAGAACCTTAAATTGACTTTAATATGCCAGTGTAAGTGGTCTTCTCACGGCGTTGTTCCTGATGAAAACGAATTCACAACCTTGCAGGTGTTGAGGAATATATGAATTCATCAGTTGCTGTCATGGAGGTGTATACTTTAGTCAAGCCATTTTGTGGCAGAGCTCCTGGACAAAAGGTGTTGAGGGAGTTGTCAAAGTATTCTCTGGGCAGTGAAAGAAGTGTACCAAAAACTAGTTTGGTGGGTGAATAACGTAAGTCGTCCTTTATCATATTCCTCCAGGTGAGAAGAATCAGAGGTAGGTAGTCAACCCAATTCGCCGTGTCAGGTTTAGAGACCAGTAAAATCTCTCAACCAGGCCATTAGCACATGGATGGTAAGCAGTCATTCTGATATGCTGAGTAGTTTGGTGAATTCTCTAAAAAAAAAAAAAAAAAAGGGACGATTGGAACTGTGCTCCTAGGTCGGTCATGACGACTTGAGGTGTACCAAAAATTCCGATCTACTCTCTCAGGATTGTCTTGGAGATGGTGCTTGCAGAAGTGTCCTTGATAGGCACAGCAGTCGGTCATTGTGAAAAACGATCCACAATTGTCAGCAGATGCTGGTAATCCTGACACATCGGCAACGGTCCTACAAGGTTGTCATGGATATGTGAGAACTGTGCATCAGGATTGCTGAAAGTACCGACAGGGGATTTGGTGTGTTGATGGACTTTACATTTTCTGGCGTTCCAAGCACATTGAACCCAATCTTAGCATTCATGTTAGGCCAAACAAATCGGTCGGTAATGAGTTTGACCATTGCTCACTTGCTCGGATGTGACAGCCTGTGTAGATGTTGAAACACCTGTCTTCAAAGTGCAGGAGGGATGTAGGGCTTAGGGTTGGCTAGGCTGATGTCGCAGTATACAGTGTTGTCACTGAAGGATCTTGGGAACTCCTGAAGCTTCAAGGAAGTGTTTGTTAGCATGCCTTGAAGCGTTGAGTCGGATTTCTGTTTGGCGGCTATCGAATCCTGACTCAAGATGTTGGTTTCAAGAAAATGAATTTCTCTTCGGGATAATGTATCTGTGACTGTGTTGTCCTTTCCCTTTACATAACAGATGCTGTCAAAAACTGTGACAGGTAGTCGAGGTGCCAGATCTCATGGGATGTGTATTTATTGAAGCTGGTGCTCATTGCAGTCATCAATGGTTTGTTCTTGGTGTAGATGGTAAATTCTCTACCTTCCATTAGGTGCCGAAAATGTTTAATGGCCAAGAAAATGGTTAGTAGCTCCCGAGAGAAAGTGCTATATTTCCTCTGGGCTGGCAAAAGCTTAGTCAAAAAGAATGCGACGGGTTTGCATTTGGTATCAAATTCCTGCTCGACCACTGTGCCCACTCCTGTGTCGGTTGTCAGGGATAGTCGCGTTCGAGGATTGTTGTTAATATATGAAAGCCTGGTGAAATTTGCTAATGCAGTCTTTGCCATGTGAAATGCGTGCAGAGCATTTCCCTCCAATGTGATGCCTTTGTTCATTCTCTGCAGCAGGTGCGTCAGGGGCTGGAGAATGGTAGAACAATTCAGGATGAATTGTCAATAAAAACTGATCATCCCAATAAAATGTTGCAATTGTTTAATAGACATCAGCATTGAAAAGTTCTGAATTGAGCTGATCTTAGTTGGCAGAGGTGAGATGCCATTCATGTCGGTGTGGTATCCAAGAAAATCGATACTGAGTGCTCTGAAAACACATTTGTCCAGGTTCAGCTTCAGGCTGTTATGTGAAAATCGCTGGAATACTTCTTGCAGGTGTTGCCTATGGGGGTTGACGTCTTTACTGGCTATTAAGATGTAATCAGTGTACGTGTAAACATACGGTAGCCTGCGCAGAACTTTATCCATAATCCATTGGAAGGTCTGGGCAGTGTTTCATAAACTGAATGGCATTTTTAAGAACTCATATAAGCCAATTGGTGTTGTAACTGCCATCTTAGGGATGTCTTCCAGAGCCACAGGGATCTGATGATATGCCTTCGTCAGGTCTATTTTGGAAAAGATGTGAACACCATCTAGTCTGGACACAAAGTTGTGGATTAGAGGAACAGGGTAACAGTCTGGGACGGTTGACAAATTTCTGATATTCCTCGTCACCAGGTTTCGGTACTAAGGGCAGTGGTGAGGTGTAAGGGCTATTTGAAGGATGAATGAAGCCGTTGTTTAGTATCTTGTCAAACTGCGCCTTGGCATACGCCAATTTGTGTGGTGCGAGTGGTCATGAGCGGGAATATGCAGGTGCTCTGCTTGTCCTGATGTGGTACTGAGTTTGGTGGCCACCCGAATCAGCGGCTTTGAATGGCTGCATGATGTCAACCAACTGATTTAGGAGATCCAAGTACTTGCAACCATGGCACATTGTGACACTGATTTCTGTGGTGCTGTGGAATGTAGGTGTTCCTAAGACGTGGATGTTCATGGTTTTGTCAGACAGGGTCCTTGGGTTCATATGTGCTGCCAGTTCGTAATGTGCCAGGAAATCTGCACCAAGGATGGGTATCTTCATGTCGGCAATAGTAAAAGTCCAGGTGAAGTCCTGTCGCATGCCAATGTTCATGGTGAGTCTCTTTCCTCCGTATGTATCTATTGTGAAACCATTGGCAGCTAGTAGTTTGAACAGGGTGGGCTTAGCAGAGGGGTCATTATTGTATTGTATCATGCTGATGGCTGCATTTGTGTCCACAAGGAATTTTAATTTGTTCCTACAGTCCCACACATAGAAAAGATGAGATCATGTGTTTTTACTGGATGAGTCTGTCATTGCCACTCTCCAGTTTATTCGTTTCCCTGGGCCGATGAGTGCATACAGGGTGGTCTGCAGTTGCTGGCTTCATTACCAAATGTGTGATGAAACCAACAAATATACTGGTTGTGTCACCTTCCTCGGCTGGGGGCTCGTTGCTGCCGTCGGGAAGGTGTTGGTCTCCTTGTCTGTTGATGCAGAGAAATCTGTATTTTCCATACCTGTCTCTGCAGGTTGGCCAACACCTGTTGTCACACACTGTTTGTACTGCTCTCTCTTCATTGTGTGAGGTGTGAACTGCATTTACGCTGTGATTGATCTGGGTGAAAACTAGGTCGGCGGACTCTGCCAAATCATCCAGAGGTGTGGCTCTTGTCACTAGGGCGATAATTTGCGTAACCGATTTGAGTAAGCATTCCAGCCATAAACCATGTAGAACCTTCTCTGACATGTTTTCCCAGCTGGTTCTTCATGTATTGTAGGAGCTGGGTTGGCATCTTGTCACCTCTGGTGACATTTTGCAGAATCTCCAGGATCATGTCCTCCTCAGAACGTCCAGTATGTTTAAGGATCGCTTCCTTTAAGTGTTTGTATGATTTCTGTTCTGGTAAATCTGCGAGGACATCTGATATTTTGTCCATCATATCAGATGGGTGTCGTTGCATCACGTTTGCAAATTTGGCTCCTTGTGAGATGATCCTTAACATCGAGAAAATTGATTCTACCTGCAAGAACCAATTCTTTACGTCATGATGGTATGCTAGTAGTGCTATGATGGTGGCCATCATGTCTGGTGTGTCACCCTTGACCGATTCCATCATTGTGCAGCTGTATCACGTCAGGGTCTTAGCCATGAAATTTAAAACTAGTGGAATTAAGAAATTTATGAAGCTACTATGGGACTTAGAATATTAGAACTAAGGAATGTAGTTTTCTGTAAATTTTCCATGGAAGTAGTGATAGAGTGGCAAGAGGCTGTAAGGTGAAAAATAATTTGTCACCCACTAGGACGTGTAGAGGTTTTTGGACTCTATTCAGACTGGAAAATGTACAGTCCCTGCTCATATATTGTATCAGCACTTAATTTTTGGCTTGATCTGGCTCTTATAAAGGTAGAGGATAGTAAGAGGAATCAGGTACTTACTGGTGTGGTACTGGGAACTGACCATTTTTCCAGCATCTTTAGCAATGGATTGCATGTAGGAATTCACTTGAGGTTGGAGTTGAGTTTAAGCTGGTTTAGTTTGGTTTGTTTTACAGAATATCAACCTCAATGGGTTATTTAATGCCAACAATTTTTATTGCTAATAATATATTTTTTTTTCCAAAAATGTATTGCTGGTAATTTTTTTTTCCAAAGTATTTGTGGCATTAAAACCTATTTTTACACATTCACAGTGTTTTGACCCCAGTTTGCACATAGCTAGGACCCTAACAGGTGCTACCACCCCAGGTCAGGGTGGACCTGGGAACACCAGCAATTAAGAGGTGGTTCCACGCTCCTCAAAACCTCCTGATCAGAGGCCTTGTTGCCGGATGTAGTTTATCGTCTTAGCCAGGACGTGGATGTAGTTTATTGTCATACCCAGGACGGGTTGAGTTTAAGTCTCAAATTGTTCATTTGAATAATCATAAATAACAAATGATACCAAAATCATTACTAACAAGAAGTAGCAAATAAGATGGAGGCTGTTGTAGAGGAATGTGTGTCTGCAGGTTTATAATGGGACAAGTTTGAAGTTGACAACTTCTGAAGAAAATAAAGTCAATATTTTCAGGAGGAATAAATTAGAACACATGGAAGAATTTTACATATACATTTTTATATAAAGCGTAACAATACAAAAAACAAAAAAAAGAGACAAAAACATAGTTGTGTGAACACAGATAAAATAAAAATTGTCTTTTTTTTTCTTCATCTTATCAATCTTTATGGATTATTTAAACCTAAAACATTTTTGGATTCTAAAAATAATCCTTTTTTTTGCAAGTCTATATTGTATTAATAATTTTTTGAGAATAACAATGATTTTATTTTTTCTTATAGGAAAGATACTATTGAACCCTTAGCTGGTGGGAGGAGGTGAATTCATACTTTTCCCAAGAGGATTTGCATGTAAGTGAATGTAATGAATCCAAATGGAATTCAAATTAAGCTCTTAGATTTCTCATTCTGTGTATCCATTACACCATCTGCACATCCACAAAAATTGAAGAAAAACATTCTCGGCTTTGTTGCTAGAAAATGTGTATGTGCGAGTTAAAATTTAGTCGCTGGTTGCTTATAGGAAAGAAATTTTTCCCCAGTGTGGACAAGGCTTGTGTTGGTAATGTTACATTTTAGAGCAAAAGAGTGATATGGAGAAAGGGTTATGTCCGTTGTTTTAGAGCCCTGAAATAGCACTACCCAGTAGGCATTTTGGTAGACTAGGTGGAGGATAATCTCTACACTGTAAATTTCCTAGCTTGAACAAAGAAATAATATTTGGTTATCGGGACTGAGTTTAGGAAATGGGTCAGGCTGAGAACTTTCAGCACATCCTCATAAAATTTTACAATTGTTTAAAATGTATGTTCAGTAAAACAGACAATTTAAGCAGCTTTTGTGAGGAAGAGAGAGAGAAAAAAGTTTTAAGCTCCTTTGTTCTTAATTTTAAACAAAGATAATAATACTGATTACTAGTTTCTATGGAATAATCTCAATTATTTATTACAAAATAATACTGTTGTGATATTTTTCTTACATCTTAGCCAACTTATTTTGGGTTTAAAAAGACATTGCATATGAAGAACAGTGTTTACTGAAAGTTTCATAACCGCATTAGTATTAAAAACACATTGCATCTCAAAAATAGCATTTTTGTTTTTTAAGGTCCTATGGAGGAGCCACTAAACTAAAATTATTGCATAAAATGACTAAAGAGATTAAAATCATACAAAGAATACATATGGTAGTTGCATATTTGTTTATTTGTAAAATACATCTAATAGTTTGATACAATGAATTGGAGAAATGCCAAGATTTATATGAATAAAATGATTATTGAAAAGTATATAATTCATCACATGTAAAAAGGATGTTAACATTATAAGTGAAAATTACAAATGAAAATTCAGGGTTACTTGTTTATGAACAAAAACCCTTTTCAATAATTGAAAAAAACTGTATACAATTAACAGAGAAAATGGATCAATACTATTTTTATAAATAATAGGTAAATGTAAAATCATAACTGGATCAATGATGAGTGGAGAAAGAATATGTGAGAAATTTTGGGTAAAAAAATGTCTAAAGTACAAAAATAGCAAGAGAAGAATTGAACAAAAGCAAATAAAAATAAACTGAATGGTTGTCTGTTAATAAACTTTATCAATGTATAGCACAAGAAATGAAGTTCACAGAAGAGTGGTTGGCAATGGACAAGACTCTATGGAAGATTGTTAAGACAATAATCATTTGCCAATTACTTTCAAATTGAGGATAATCCTTGTAATAGATCCACAACTGCAGAAAGTCACAAGGTATTAAATATTAAAATAATTAGTCCATTGCAAACAATACTAAGCAGTAAACCCTTGCATCTTAGTGGCTTTATTGCCTTGCTTGGGATGAAATGATTAAAAAAAAATTGAAAGGCACCAATATTCAGAGAACTTAAAACGATTATTTGGTTACTTATTTAGTCCATCTTTTTACTTACAATTATTGTCATGTGATGGAAACAATAGTCTGTGCATAATTTAAACAAATTAGTCATAAATAAACAACAATGTCTTTTTATAGCCATCTTTCACTTATATTATTGTGAACGAAGACATTTTTACATTTATATAAGTAGCAAAGTAATCATTCTAAGTAATGCAGTTAATCAAACTAAGGGCAGTGTAATTTGTTGTGATTTTAAAATAATTTAAAAAAATATTCAACTTTCTTTTCTTCTCAGATTGTATATACCAAAAGAAAAAAAGAAAGAAATAAAAAGAAAAAAGACAAATGTCAGGAGTAATAGCAAATAAAAAAGGAACTGTCACTTTATCAACAGATAATATACATTTACTGAGAAATATTTTAATGTCATGATAACACCTTGTAGTAGTCATGATAACCTTATGAATTATTGCAAAAAGACATTCCTTAGATACTAGTGTTTAAGGTTTTCTACAAACCTTTCAAATAGTTGAAGTGGATGGCGTAGTGTGCAGAAGGTTTGCTCAGAAAGTGCAATTGCCCTGGGCATCCATATCAGGAATCATCAACTTCTGCACATTACTGAGTAGATGTTGGATATCACTGCAGACAGTGCCAGCTTTAGGAGCTACAGGACCTAAATGGAAACATTTTTTGAGGAGCTATATGCTTAAAAATTATCAACCAGCCCTCAAAATAATCAAATGTTGCTCAAGAACATGTTAAAGTGAGAATGCTAGTGCAAATAAATCATAGACTGACAGTGTTTTAACTCCTGTTATTAGCCTTTAAGAAATGAAATAAAAAGGAAAAATTATAAAAATAAAATAACATTGCTCTTGGTGCTGGACTTACCTAAGAACAATTGCTTAGGGCCACACACACTCAGGAGACTTTCCTTTTTTTTTAATTTTTTTATAATTAGTTTTTATTCTTTAATAGTAAATCATCAAAAATTATATACAGAGTGACTGAAAAGTAATACTTATAATTTATTTATTAACTATAATTTTTACAAGAAATGGATATGAGAGGAAAGTGTTTGGCATGAGGTTTTATTCAAAATTTCTATATGCGCACCAGATTTTGCTACCAGCTTCTTGAGCTGCCCAGGAATCACGTTAACCGATTTCACCAGGAACTCTTGTGGTATGGAAGACATAACTTGTATTTGCCCTTCAAGTTCTTCCAAAGTCTTAGTTTGGTATAGTAGACATGTTCTTTTAACCAAACCCAAAGAAAAAAGTCACAGAGTGTTAAGTAAGGACTCCTTGTTGGCCACTCATACATAAAATAAGGAGTTACTTTCCAATCACCCTGTATAATCATTAACAAATAATAATCATGTATAATTATTTAAAATTTTTTTTACTCAATTTGTTTATAGAGAAGGAAATCTAATTTCATATAGCTTATGGCCTCAGCAGGTGAAAGTCTCACACTGATTGCTCTATTTACAAGTTGTGCCCAATTTCTTCAGGGAAATTGGAAATGATTTTACTTAATATCAATCTGAATTAGCATTTGAGGTAATGAAAAAATACTGTGAAGTAAAAAAAATATATTGCCAACATGAAGAGAAAGTTCCGTGTACATTAACATAAGAATTCACATGAAAGACAGCATTCTTTCCTCTACAGTTCTTGGCATTTCATATATTAGCATTGTTGGTAGATACATTTTTTTTTTTACATGATTATAAATATTAATTTTTTAGTTCTAATCAAAATACATATTTAGGTTTTGCTTTCAAAAATAAAATGGTAAAAAAAATAAAGTTATTTTTACAGTGCTCTGCTTTTCAATAGAGTAGGAAATTATAAAAATATTTTATCAATTATTTGAGAAAAATCTCATTAAAAACTTTTGATAATATTAATAGATATTCTTTTTTTTTTAGATGGGTGGACACAATTTAACAGTCAAGTGTAGAGGAGGTGACATCTGGTCACTTGACAAGCTTCTGGGGAAAAAAAAACAAAATTTCAAAAAGAAAGCTCTAAGGGTATTTTAGAATGAATTTTTTTCTTTTGTCTATATTTCTGATATGAGGTATTGTAACTATTTACACTATTTAGACTGTTGTCCTCATCTTTATTGTCATATTCATAACAATGGCTTAGTGGATAAAAGCATTGAAGTAATCCAAAAGTGACTTGACCCAAAGAGTTGTGAGTTCACAGATTGTAACAACTATTAGGGAGATGTGATTAAATATACTTTAATGTCTAAAAACAATTTATTCAGTATTATTATTTTTTTTAGGTAATAAGCATTATAACATAGCATAAATAGGTATATTGTGGAAAAAGAAATTTTGGATAATATATGCATTTTTTTTTTTTTTTTTACACATGTGTTTTTTTTATTATTTTTAACTTTTATCAAAAATGACATTCTTGTACATATAGTTATGGATAATATTATACATTTATAACTATTTTTTGTGTTAAAATTTTGGAACAATGCAATAAAAATTTAAATTTCCTCTCTGTGATAAGTCACGATTTGTTAATATCTGGCCACAGCACAGGGGAACAAAAACTTGGAGAGTTGAGTTACTAAAGGGGAATAACTGAAACTGAGATATTCAGAAAAGGCATAGCATGTGGAATTAGAACAATCTACCCCAGTGGACGAAATAAAAGGTTTTTGTTTGAAATTCCAAAGTATATCACCTGATAAAAGCCAGAAACATCACGATGATAAAGGTGAGGACAACAGTCCATACAATGCAAATAGTGTAAATGTATTTTTTCTGTTAGTACAAATTCAAAATTTTATATGTTTCCAATATACCCATAAAAGTTAACACAGCTGTTTAAAACACTTGTTTTTGTCACATAGGAAAATCCAACATGCTGCTTGAACGAAATATTTGGCGAAAATTCCCATTCGTCAGTAACATTAAATCCCTCATAGAATGCAAAGTTCTCAAAGCAAACCGGTGCCAAACTGTTTTCCTGAATCCTTGAGGACTTGACTGTCTGAAAATGGCAACATCAAAATGAAACAATGGAAACTGACCATGGAAAACACAATTATGTGCAACAAGTTTTTGATCAATCAGTTACCTTCTAGAAGTTTTCGAACCATGTTATTGGATCCAGATGGCTATTGTTTGTGCATGGAATTATTCACTGGTAATTGATCTTCGATTTGGCTGTGAAAAATGTCACCTGGGGGTTAGCATTAAGAAATTATGACCAATTTTCTGAGAAAAATCAATTTTCTTTTATGAAAAGATAATTTTTTTTCACTTCAAAACAATTTTTTTTCAAACTTCAACCCTTTCTCTGTAAGTTAGTGTGAACATCATTGAATAAAAGGAACGGCTCTATGACCTGACAATGGAAAATATGAAATACATGCATCAAAAAAAAAAAAAAAAAAAAAAAAAGTGAAGTGTCGGCTGCTAGTGTTTTTGTCATCACCCAGGTCTTAAAGTGTAAAAAAAAAAAAAAAAAACATCGAACCATGTTCAATTATTTTTCACAACTTTATCTGATACCTTCTTGACTTTCTCACATAAGTTTGAAAAAATAACCCATAGCAAACCCTTTAGCAATGTCTATTTTTTTGCTGTTGTAAGTGGTGTGGTTTATCACCAGCAGCTGATGACAGCTTGTTTTATTTGCTGGCTATCTGACTTTGAGCTAGCCACGTCAAAGTCAATTTGAACCATATCTTACTTATCACTGCATTCTTTGAAGAAAACAAAAAAAAAAAAAAAAAAAAAAAAAAAAAAAAAAAAGGGGGTTAATTTCCCATTATTGGGGAAAATTTTTGTTTAGAACTAGAAAAAAATGCAAAATTTTTACCTTTTTCACATTTTACCCACTGAAAAATTTTTTTTAGTCATTTCCACTAGCCAATTTTACTTTTAAATGAAAGAACATATTGTTTGCTTTTAGAAAATTCCAAGTTTCATGGGGTGCAGATCAAAAGTTTCCTTGATATTTCGTCCAGATGATGACAAAAAAGTCATTTTTTAATAATTTATCTTGTTTTACCCTATAAAAGTATGAAAATCCATTTTTTTTCAGAGAAAATAGTCTGTGACAAAATGACTTGCTATTTTTTGGCTTTTTTTTTTTTTTTTTTTTACTTGGTATAGAATTTGTTTACCATAGCAGACCTGAATTGACTTTATTTAAGCTTTGGGGTGGTGTGTGTGTGTGTGGGGGGGGCTACAGGAAGCCTCAAACAGCTGTGTTAAACATTCCCAGTTAAAAAAACAAAACAAAAAAACATACAAACTGAAGGTTAGGTTAGCCAGATTTACTAAAAGTTCCTCAGAGTAAATCAAATTAGCATCTTGTAATATTTCATTGGCATATTTCTGACATTAATGAAGCAACTTACTTAATGTTTCACTTACTTCCCACAGTTTTTTGGCAACAGCCATGTCACGACCTTTAGCAGATGTGCTGCTCACTTTACAGTCAGAATAATATTCGCCACTGGTGCTTTCAATTCCTTCGCTTAAAGCACAATGGAGAATGGTCTGTGCTCCCTCTTTAGCAGTCTGATTTTAAAAAGAAAAAGAAACATGGATCGTTTTATTTTAGCAAAAACTGGGCTCCAGATGATTAATTTTAGTAAACAAGCTTGAGATGTTTTGTACATCAAACCAAAACCATTTCTTCATAAATATTAATTCAGAATTCTCAATGAGAAACAGAGAATCATTACATATATTTTTCCTTGTGAAATGACAGTGAAGAAAAACTAGTATTGTTTTTTTTTTTTTAAGCATTTCACCCCAAGCAAAGTGGGAAGCCACTAGCATGCAAGGGGTTGCAGAGAGTTGCAGGGAGAACAAATAGGAGTGATAGATGAAAGAATGAAGAGAAGGATAGGGGATAGATCAAGGTATCTGGAGACGTCGATTGACATTGCATTTGAATAGTTGGAGATTATAGCTATCAGGGAAACAGGAAAAGGGGAGGGAGTTCCACAGGCGAGAGGTGCGAGACGGCTACATTAGTGTAACAATACAATTTCTCACACATCTTTAGAAGATAAGTAGATAAATTCCTTTTAAGTTTACTTAGTTATCCGAGTTTTGTAGGAATTTAATCTCGAATCCATCTTTGAGGTAACTGAATTGCCGGATTTTCAGGATTTATGTCCCCAGCTCGCCTTTGAATTAGCACATAAAATTTTATCAGTGATTTTAAATAGTCATAAAAGTAGGTTTTTTAAGGTTTGACCACTCATGTGGCTTTAGGATGGTCCCAAACTTTCCGGAACACAAGTGGATAGAGGAGTGTGGGACTCCAGTGATTATCCATACAAGCAGAGAGAAGCAGGAAGTCAAGATGAAGGGGGGGGGGGGGGGTCCAGCCATGATAGAAGTAGGCAGGTGACCAGAGAAGTTAGGAGCTGCCCAGTGGCCAGTGACAGAAGGACTGGTAGTGAGGAACCAGGAGTGACCAAGCCCAGAGGCCAGTGGCGGAAGGGACCAGCTGAAGTTAGGGAGATAGCCAGCTAAGTGAGAAATTATATCAGTGTCTTTGAAAACATTGTTATTATTATTGTTTGTTGAAAGCGATCATGACCAACAAGACAAAACTCTGCACATACTGAGTTAGGTGTATATGCAAATACAAAACAACCTTGGATGTTATCACAGGTGCAGTCAATGATGGACAATCATAGAACGTTGTCATAAAACTTGTCACAATTTCGCCATGAATGACATCACATTAATGTCTCAATATTTTTTTTTTTATCAATGTGTGGAAAATACATGTTTTTTTTTTTTTTTTATCATTGTGGTGGTAATGTCACAATAAAAACTGTCCACAATACTTATTGTTAATCAAAAATTTACTTTAAATTTGTTCCTCTTATCTGTTATAGCCTACAAAAATGGACCCCTTTTTCAGTAAAGCACTTTAATTCTGGTTAGATTGGAATAATCATTTACATTTTTTATAGTCAGTCCCCACTAGCCTGTCCCTTTTTTAAATCCATTGTCAATGTATCAAAGATTTCAATAAAGACTTACCTTCATAAGTGGATATCGAGTCATCAATGCTTGGACAAGTGATGGCATGAAACGAAATAATTCTGTATCACAAAAGCCAGGATGGACAGAAAATGTGCTAACTCCTGTAGAAGATAAATAAGCTTAGAAATACATTATGTCCATTTATAGAATAAAAGGGTAGATGAGAAACAGATAAAAAGCTTTATGCACTTTAGATATCAGGAATGGCCAATACATGAACCAAAAGTGGCACACTGAATGATTTAACATGAGAACTGAATCATATGAATCACCATCTGCAACAGTCTTTTAGCCAGGTGTGATACTATGGACACCCACCTAGAAAAAGAAGAGGAGGTTTTATCTTGATCTCAAGTGTTTTATAGCCAGCAGGTAGTTTGTTTTGAAGTTTAGTTTTCTAAGTGGTATCCACTTTGACATATAGAGGATTTAATGTGAGGTATATTTTGGTAATAAAGTGGCTTATTACCAGTGAACTGGATTGTGTGGCTCTTATAAATGAACTATAAATTAAAGCAGCACGATCACAAGGATTTACAGTGCATGTGAACTGAAATAAAAGAGAAGGGAATTGTCCACAAATCATTTATCATGAAGATATTAGCAGAAGGAAACAGTAGTAGAGTTTTTGAACTGAGAATATAGAGGGGTAGCGATCAGTGGATTCATTTTATTTTTTTTATATGGAAAAGAATACTAGGGAACGAGACTGTAATGCCAAAAGCGTGTTTGACGGGAAAATGTGTCAAAATTCTAGGAAGAGATGAATGGAGATTATAGTGCAAAGTAAATTCTAGTGAAATTCATGTTAAGGTTGTAGTTCGATCTTAGGAATTTCAAAGAAATGCCTGTTGGAATTTTAATATTGGAATTTGATTTGAGAGGAGTCTTTAGAGAAAAAGAAATTGTCTCAATCAGGTGTGCAGAACTTAGAGAATGGAGAAAAGAATTTTTGCAATATCCCAAAGTGTTAAAAGATAATGGACTTTAATGTAAAATATTGTTAATTTTCATTACAGGGCCTACAGACTGGTTACTTTTGGGTGTTTGTAATTTTGGAAAACATTTATAAATGCCAAGATGGCATGGGGAGGTACGAGATATTATAAACACCGACATAGAAAAAGAAGATGCCATTTTATCTTGATCTCAAGTGTTTCTATTTTATAGCCAGAAGGGGGTTCTTTTTAAGTCTAGTTTTCTAAGCAGCATCCACTTTGAGAGAAGAGTAAGGAATTAAAGAAGTAGATGAGGGGTTTTTGGACATCAAGTGACAGTGAAACTAGAAACAGAGTGCAACCAGGTACTGAACTATATTAATAGTCATGCTTAATATTGGATTCAGTTCTGGTTTGACCATGGTGAGAGATACACTTGTCTGTCATTTGGTTCAAATGCTACCTGTTTTCATTGCTAATCACTAAGAAGTTTCTAGGAGGAAGAGCTGATCTATGAGATCCTCATAGAAGTATCCAGTATCACCTAAAGGCAAAGCCCTGAATAAAACATGTTATATTCTGTGCTAAGGGAATAAACACGTTATACCAGGTGGATAGTAGAAGAAAGGTTTACTGTACACAATGAGTACAATATGAAATATGGTACAGTTATACACACAGGTCAATCTAGTAGAGAGTGCCACTAATTGGAAGACTGGACGTGTTTGTGTTGACTCACTCACTCCCTTGTCTCTCGTAGACGGTTGACTTTATAAGCTACTTGCTACCTATAGTGTAATAATTCATAGGGGTAACTGGTTATTCCATTACAGTAAAACATTTACATATAATATGGGAGCAGGGTTTATGTTCTTATTTCTTGATGTGGAATTTATCTTTCTTGTTACCTTGTGAGCATGCACACAGATTGAGAATCAAAATACAATGTGAGATAATGATTGGCTGGTTGGTGAAAAGCTTGGGTGAGCGTTCTGTTGTATGTTTACACAGGAATGCCACCCTTTCATTTTCGCATTGCATTGTTACAGGTGATGAAAAATGGGTTTTGCATATCAACAGAAAATGAAAACGATAATGGTTATGACAAAATGGGAAACAAGTCTTAATGGCAAAACTAAGACTTCATCTATAGAAGCTGTTTATTGCTAGCAATTAGATCATAAATGAAGCATTAAGTCAAAATTGTCTGACATTGATGGATAGAAAAAGTGTTATTCCCCAGCATGACAATGCAAAGGCACACTCTCTGTAAAAGGAACCCAAGAAAGAATAAGATTATTATGATGCAAGGTTCTTTCATATCCTCCATACTTGCCATATTTAAACACTCCTTTTTTTTTTTTTTTTTTTTCTAGAACATTTCACGTGTGGTAGTAAATTCAGAAACAAAGAAGAATTTGAAACTAACTTTTGCAGGGGGAGAAAAAGACCCAGATTTCTTAAAATGTGGAATCAAAAATGTATCTTATTAGGCTGGATGAAAATGAACGTGATTTAACTTTGATTTATTCTTTCTGGTGAAAGGTAATAATATAGTGAAACGATATTACTTTCCGAACACCTTAATCAACAATTCAAGGGAGATCACTCACCAAAAAGTAGACAAAAACAAAAAAATTTTTTTTTTAAATTAGCATATCATATACATAATTTGACAGATGTAGATTATCATGTCTCAAGTTTTTAATTTATATTTTGCTTGAGTTTTCTAAACACAAAGTGACTATTTTTATCTTATTGTAAACTGAATGAAATTCTTCAACTAATAAAGATAAGAAATTTTAGGAGTTACCTTTTCCTTCTGTTCTTCTTGCTAATTCCCGTGTGAATAAAACATTTGCTAATTTCGTATTAGCATAAGTTCTATTACCATCATCTAGCATTGGGCATTTCATATTCTCAAAACGAATACTTCCTATTTTGTGTCCATGGGAACTGACATTGATAACTCTGGATGGAGCTGATGACTGAAGGAGATCTGAAAGGAAAAAAAAAATACATAAATGAACAAAGATATGATCATGTAAATATGATCCAAGGAACCAGGAACGAAAATCACTTTCTTGGGGAAATGATATATAATCAATGGATCCTTAAAGTTGTCTGTTTTTTAATTTAAATTTTATTTAGATATATTATATATAAAATTATATACATGAGTATATATAATAATTTATCCATAGTGTCTGATTTCTGTTCACATCTGTGGCATTTCAGAATACAAGTAAAAAAAAATAAAGAAAGACACAAATGACTAATTACTGTTTAGGAGAAAGTTACAAATAAATCAATGAAACTAGAATGTTATGCAATTATAAATTTAAATTAAAAATGATTATTTCTTTTATAATCAGATAAATCAATTTTAGCTGTTTTTTTTATAATCTAGATTTTTGTTTTATAGCAGCTGTTTAATCAAACATAATTCAACACTTGAACTTGGCCCATATTTAAAGAAGACAAAAACAGACTCACCTAAAAGCAAGTTTGTGAGAAGGAATGGCGCAAAATGATTAGTGGCATATATTGTAGTCAAACCATCTTCAGTCAAAAGTGAATTAGAATCTAAAAGAGAATTTTTTAAAACTGAATTCAGTATGAACTTTTCAGAATCTTAGAAAATTAATAAATTAAACAAAAACAAACCAAACATGAAACAAAATCATTCTTTAAAAACTCAATGGAAAATAAAAAATTCTTTTACTTATATGTGTAGTTGTGCATAAAGATATTTTCATCAGTGATTAATTGAAAGTGTATACTTAATAAAGGATAGTGACCTGTTTGAGAAAACATTTAATATACAAACGTTCAAAATTTCTTTAAAATATTTCAAAAGTAAAAATATACATTTTGGTAAAAATAATGTTGAATTTTGATGGCAAAAATAGAAACCTAAATTAATTCAGTCATTTTTTTTTTGGCTTCCGTGTCTACATGAGGATTAAGTTTATCTAAGATAACTAAAAGAGGCTCATAAAAGACATACCAACAAAATAAAAGTGATACTTAGAATTTGGTTATTGGTGTGTTGTCTTCTAGTCTGTGATGTATAAGTTCCATCTCTGTGCAGAGTGATGACCGACTTATTAGCTGTTGTTTGACTATGCAAAATAGGGCAAGTCCATTTTACCTGTCACCACAGTTATATAGCCTGTATTTTTTAGCATTAAAGACCCCCTTTTTTTGTGAAAAATACCTCAATAATTTATCCTTTAACCTACAGTCTGAAAATCATTTTTCTTTTTATCTTACTTAGTTTATCCTTGAATTTTTGAAAATGTGCTATTTGACATCCGCCTTTAGAAAATTAGGTCAATTATATTAAAGCATTACAAGATGTTGACTTTCCACACTAAAGAAAAAGTTAGAAAGGAAAAACCTTTTAATACTAGAAAAAATAGTTACAGTGAAATTCAGAAGCCTATTTTCCTGAAAAAAACTATTTTAAGTTAAAGATCTTGTAAATTTTAACAGAAAGTAATGCTGTTTGGTCAGTGAATGCTAAAAGTTTCCTTACAAGGAAACTGTTAATCTCACAATTATTATTGCAAGGAATGTGGTGTTAAATGTGTTGGGCAACTTCATCAGCCCAAATTCTTTGCGGTTCTGAAAGCCAAACTTTCATTGACAAGCTTGGTTTTCAGCTCAACAAAGCGACAAGTGAATAATTTGGGCAGATGAAGTTGAAGGACACATTTTGCACCACATTCCTTGCAATAATTTAAAACAAATGGCCTAATTTTGTGTAGGGAAGATAACAAACAAACTTTATTTATGTCCATTCTTTTCTGCAATTTGAAATTGGTAGTGGGGTCCTTGAGGCTGGAGTGTCCTTGAAGCTGAAAAAAATATGGTGTTTTATATAAAAAAAAAGGAAAAAAAATAACTTACGCATAATACCAGCATTGTTAATTAGAATATCCAAACGAGATTCTTCCTTAATGATTCTTTCGGCAAACTGTCGTACAGATTGAAGGGAGCTGAGGTTCACTTGTTGAAATACAATTTGTTTATTGCCAGTTTCTGCAATAATTTTTTCTTTGGCAGCGTTTGCCTTTTCTGCATTTCGACATGCCATGATAATACGGGCATTACGAAAGGCCAAGTCAAGCGCTACATAGTAACCAATTCCTAAAAGGAAGCAATATCAGTATTTTTTTTATTTAGTTAAAAAGAAAAAAAAAAAAAAAGGAAAAGAAAAGCTTGCTTCAGCAACATTCTCGTCTTCATTATTTTATCACAAAAATCATATTTATCATCAATCAATAATTAACTTTAGTATCTGTCTACATTTCTGAGATGAAATATTATGTACACTATTTACATTATTCGGACTATTGTCCTCATCTTTGTCACCATATTTATTACGTTTCAGAAGTTGTACACTCCGGCCTTCTTCGGGTGGTTGGAATGTCAAACTGAACCCTTTATTTTGCTCACTGGGGTAGACTGTTCTAGTTCCATGTGCCATGTTTAATGGATGTCAGTTATCAGTTATCTCCTGTTAATTTCTCTCTCCAAGTTCTCCACTGCCTTAACCGGGCATTGAACTTACACTCCTTGGGTCCTGTCACTGGATCTAACCAACACCTTTATCCACTGTGCCATGTGTTCTTGAAAATTCGTAAACTTAAGGAATCGGCAGATATGTTAGGCCACAAAAATCTCCTGAGCTGACCAAGCATAGAAATGAATATAACATGGGAACCAGTAATAAGGAGTGCCAGAGAAAAGCGATAACAACAACAAAAATCACAATATGAGCTCTGGTAAAAACATGGAATGATAACAAAAATCACAATATGAGCTCTGGTAAAAAATGGCTGCTGAAGAAATCAGGTTTATAATTACCAGAAATTCATACAAAGATGTCCTAAAGGACACATGACACAGTGGAGAAGGTGTTAGTTAGATACAGTGACAGGACCCAAAGAGTGTGAGTTCAATATCTGGTTCAGGTGGTGGAGAACTTGGAGAGGGGAATTAGCAGGAGATAACTGATAACTGACATCCATTAAACATGGCACGTGGAACTAGAACAGTCTATCCCAGTGAGCGAAATAAAGGGTTCAGTTCGACATTCAAACTACCTGAAGAAGGCCGGAGCATACAACGGCCGACACATAATAAATATAGCGATAAAGATGAGGACAATAGTCCGAATAATGTAAATAGTGTACAGTAATAAACTTTAGTACAGAACAATGCTTGAAATTAACACCAATCCAAACACAATAGAACATTAGCTTGGGATGACTGGTTAGGTTTTTAGAACAGTACTAAATTTTTAATTAAAATTCTATTGTATTTCTTCTAAAAGCAATTAATTACTTAAAATTACAAGAAAATTCAACAAACTTAGACCATCATGCCTCCCCCCAAAAAACAGAATGTCAAAAGGATGTTTTTTTCCTTGACACCACTATTATTTTAACTACCTTCACTCCCCAGCAATGTTTGTTGTAATGATTAGAATTTTAATAAAACCTAAACATATGAAAGTGAATTTACACCTTTTTTTGAGAATTGACAAAAACAATAATAAACACTATTTATTATATTGTAATAGTTTTAATTGTATTAGTTTTTAGAATGTTGTAAATATAAAATTATTCCTGTAAATAAAAAATCTAATAAATAAATAGTGCTTAATATTTTTGTTGCAAATTCTCAAGAACAAAAACATGTATAAATTAACTTTCATCATATGTTCATGTTTTATTTCAATTCTAATCATTGCTTTTTAAGACAATAGACATTGCGAAGGAGTGACAGTAGTTAAAATAATAGTGGTGTCAAGGGAAAAAAAAACATCCTTTTGACACTCCATTTTTTTTTCTTTTTTCGGGCACAGTGGTGTTTTAATAAATGAAGTGCGGGCGCACGCACACACACACAATAATAGACAAAACTTTAGCACTTCTTTTTAAACTAATGAATGAAATCCAAAATGAAAAACAAAGTTTGAAGGACTTTATTTTAGATATTTTTATTATTTATTTGTAAATGTATAAAACATTGGGATCTAAATGTAAAAAACTAAATTTGTTTCAATAAACAAAGCAAGAAAATTATATTTTTTCTGTCAATTTTTTTGTTAAAAACTTGAATGAACCATTTACAAACAAAATTTATTTGTCATGTTTTCTGCTCATCATAAACTAAATTGAAAATACAAGGGAGAATTTTAAAAATGATAAACAAATACACCCCCCCCCAAAAAAAAACGGTAATTGTAAACAAAATCTTTTTGATAAAGACTTTAAAAACGTTTTTGATTGTGAATAGTTCTAAGGTGATAATATTCTTTATATAGAAAATGAATACAAAGAACATAATTCTTAAAGTCAGATAAGAGATTTAAACATGAAAATGAATTAATAGGAACATTTCTATGTAAAGGTAACTGAAATGCTTAAATAAAAATATAGTTATTTTTATAAAAATAACTAGATAAGATGAAGTTTTATTTTGTATTTAAAAACTAAAACTGTTGAAATTATTAACTTTTGTAATTTTATATATAATATTACTTGTACAATGTCAAATTTTATTATGCAAGTCAACATTTTCATATTAAGAATTGTTTGTTTGTGAAAAGTAATTTTTTTTCCACCACATAAAGGAACATAAATATTTTTTGAAAGAGGGATAGCAAAATTCTCACTTTTGGAATAAGTTGTTGGAGTGACAGATTCCAGAAATAAATAAAAAAAAGAAAAAAAAATGAAAGAAAGAAAGATAGGGAAAATGGTGCAAAGTCTGGTGTGGAGAGAAAAAAACAAAAACATTTATGTTATGTAAAGGCTGTCTCCTTTTCATTAAGAGCTAGGATGGAGGTAATCATGGCTCTCCACAGATTCCTTTATTCCTGCCTTGACTTCTTCAGAAAAATAAAGTAGCATTTTCTCCACTGTTTTCTTGATGGTTTTGAATTCAAAGAAGTCATTCTTCTAGACCAACTAATGCCCAAGTCTAAAGAGCCTGGTCTCTTCTGCTATTTAATCTATATATGGGGGATGTTCATAATACATAGAAAATATTAAGAAAACTAACCAAATACTCACCTGTATTACAACCTGTAATAATGACTGTTTTGCCAGTAAGATCAGTCTTTGATGTGCAGACACCCCAACTATGTCGCCAGCAAATAATGATAAAGAGGACAATTAGAAAGCCAGCTAAAATTAGGCCAATCATTGTTCAATGATTTCCAAACCTGGACAAAAGCTGGAAAGAAAAAAAGAAAAGAAAAAGGATTACTAGGCAATAAATAAAACAGTTTTAGCTGGTTTCATATCCCTAAAATATTTCTTAAAGATTTTTGACAGAATCTTTTTAATTTCTATAAGAGCAGCAATCTAAATCTTTATGTAATGTTATCATATCATCGACCTTTTTCCGTACAAAGGAACTTATTTATAATCCCAAACATCTACCTAAAATCAAAGCAATATTAACATAAGGTGAGCTGACAATTTTCAAATGCCTACTGAATAACTCAAAACTAACACAAGAAACTTACTATTAAACAAAAACAGATTTTGTTATCATGTACATGTTAATTGAATAGTTGAATGTCAATTAATGTTCTAATTTCTTTATAGCCTTTATGGAACCAAAAAAAAAAGCTGATGAGCAACTGAATGAGTAGAATATGCAGAACATATTTGTTAACTTTTAGGACAATCACAAATTTTTTTGTCAAATATTTATGAAATCAAAGTCAATTATTTATAACGAAAAATGGTCAATAAGAGAAATGATTATTTACGCTATTTACATCATTCATCTTTATTGCCATATTCATGACGTTTTCGCCATTGTAAACTCTGGCCTTCTTCAGGTGATATACATTGGAATTTCAAACCAAACTCTTTATTTAGTCCACTGGGGTAGATTGTTCTAATTCCACATGCCATGCCTTTTCTGGATATCTCAGTTTCAGTTAATTCCCTTTAGTAAGTCAACTCTCCAAGTTTTTTTTTCACTCTGATGTGACCAGGTATTAAACACACAACTCTTTTGGTCAAATCACTTTTTGGATCACTCAACTAATGCTTTTATCCATTAGGCCATATACTCATGGTCCTATATTGCATATCACCTGTTGAAGACCGGAGTGTACAACAGCCAAAACGTCGTGAATATGTCAATAAAAATAAAGACAACAGCTTGAACAATGTAAATAATTACAATACCTCATCTTAGAAAATATAGACAAAGAGAAAGGATCTTTCTTTATTATTTATTCATTATTTAATCCTAATTTATGCTTGATAAGTTACATTTAAATTGTATGACATTTACACATTATATTTGATAAAAAAATATTATACAAATATAAAATAGTAGCAGTAGAGCCCAGCGTTGCAACAGTAAGAGATAGATCAAGTATCAACCATCATAAAGACTGAAAAATAAAATTGATAAAGATTATTGTTTAAGGTTGACGGACACGCATGTCTTAATTTTTTTTTTTTTTAGGATTTGGTCAAACCCAAACTCAAACAAAAACATTGTTTTCAATCGTTATGAGACTACCGATTGAATAGAATTTTATTATAAACAAGTGTCTTGTAAATGGAATTTTTAAAGCATCTGAATGTAAAAATAAAGAAAAAAGTGTGCAAGACAATAAGAAACACTACCTGCCAAAAAAAAAAAAAAAAAAAGTGAAGTTTTGTTGAAATTGGTTGAAAAATGTAGGAAATCTGATCCCATATATAAATGAACGCACACACACACACACACACACACACAACCTGGGTTTTATAAGTATAACTCGATATGAGTTGTCCCCCTTTCATTCTCGTGATATCTCTTAATCGTTTTTTCAAATTGATTTTGTGCAAAAATAATTGTGTTTTTCCAATTTTTGGCGCTGTCAGAACCACTGCAAGGTAATTTTATGTAGTCCTGTGAAGTTTTGTTGAAATCGGTTGAAAAATGTAGGAAATCTGATCCAATATATAAACGTTACAGACACACACACACACACACACAACCTGGGTTTTATAATAAGTATGATACATTACTTTTATTTAAAAACAAAATCAAAAAATGAACATTTCTTCAGTTTAATGTTTAGAAAACTTGAACCTTTTTTTATCTGAAACTTCCAAAATTCGTGTATGGCATTAAATTTTAATGGACAGTGTAATTTTTTTTTTCTTGTTCAAAGTCATACTGTGACACATTTAGAAAAAATCCTGATATCAACAACATTTGGAAGGAGGGAAGAAAAATAGAATTGTAGATTAGGTTGAATTTAAATTTATCATGGAAACAAATAAACAAAAAAAACAAAAAGAATAAATAAAACATCTTTTCTCTTTAAAAATTCAAAATGAAAACATTCTGTTTGTGCTTTCTTTGGTAATCTTGGAAGAGATAACATGACCGTTTGGAATTATTCGTATGGTTAGGATCCTGGTAGCTGATAATTTTGTGGTGGAGGAAGTAATGAAGATAAAATTATTGCCCCAAAGAGACAAACCACAGATAATATTAAGGAATTTAAACTGAAAATCGGTCATATACCAATATGTTCTCCAAGGATTTAGGAAAAAAAAAAAAAAAAAAAAAAAAGAAAAGAAAATCTCTCTCTAAATGATAAACTGAAGTGCCAAAAAATTAGAGACACTAGTACATTGAATACTTTCCCCTTTATCACTCTGTAGAAATTAACTCAACTAGGTAATATATGTAAGATATAAAAAGGTAAAGAGGTAGTGTAGCAGCCATGGGACTTGAAAAAGGTTTCAACACTGACCACATGATGATTGTTCGGGACCAGAAAGATTGGGCATTATTTTCAAGGTGACTACAGTTCTATTTTTTTTTTCTTTTTTTAAAAGCAACAATAACAGTGGAATATGGGAATTCTGGAAAGACATCAGTGGCATATGAGAATGGCAGGTGATATAAGCATGGAACTGCTAGTAACTGACAAAGATGGTAACCACCTAATGAAAGAGAACATTGCATCAAATTAGATCTCAATTCAATGCTAGTGCCACTTAGCCTATTAATCAATAAGCTGTACAGCATATGATACATTCCATGGTGTTTTGTAGTTGTTGATCAAAAAGGTTACCATTACTGAAGCATTGGTTACTATAATTTGCCTGGTACAGAGAACACAACCGTTGGATCAGGAAAAGATGTTGTCTGGTCAGACAAGTCATGTATTTACACTGTTTGGACTGTTGTCCTTATATTTGTTGTCATATTCATAATGTTTTGGCTGTTGTATGCTCAAGCCTTCTTCAGGTGATTGGAAATTTGAAGTGAACCCTTTATTTTGTCCACCAGATTAGATTGTTCTAGTTCCATGTGCCATACCTCTTTCCAGATATCTCGGTCTCAGTTATTTCCCTTTTAACTCAGCTCACCAAGTTCTTGTTCATCTCTGCTGTGGCCAGGTATTAAACTTCGATCAAGTTACTGGATTACTTCAACCAATTCTTTTATCCACAGGGCCATGTATCCTTGAGGGTTCAGTTTGAAGTTCCAATCATCTGAAGAAAGCCAGAGCATTAAACAGCTGAAAATTGTGTATATGACAAGAAAGATGAGGACAACAGTGCAAACAATGTAAGTAGTGTAAATAATTACAATACCTCAGAAATATAGACAGATATAGACTAGTCATGTATCCAGATTTTCTGGGTTGATAGTAAATGTCACATGATTGAATGAGGTTATGTATCTAACCTATCAACAAGGTGTTGTGCAAGTTGTTGGTGGCTGGGTTCTATTGGAATTCCCAAAGACCACTAATATAATCGATGTCCGTCTTAACAGGTGTGACATGCATAGATCTTGTTGCAGACTGATTGCATCACTTAGGTTCACCACATTTCCTTGGTGGTGATAGTTTATTCCATCAAGACAATATAACTTCCCATATCATGTGTAAGTGAGATGAAACTGGTTCCAGGAACACTCACTTGACTTGCTGGAACTCTATTGGCCACTGTGCTCACCAGATTTAATACCCATTGAGCATATATAGGACCTTATTAGCCACACCCAATAAACAGAGATAGAACTACAATGTAAGTGGATACCTATGCCAATAGAACAAATCCAGCATCTTTTTGACTCCATGTCAAATTGCAAAGCTGCTGTTATTCAGGTGTATAGAAGAGCTACTTCTAATTTTTTGGCACTTCAGTTTATTATTGTAAATCTGCACTAGTGAAAAATGAAGAAAATTTGAAGTTGCTGAAAATAAATTATTGAAACATATCCCAATTTAATCACAAATTATTGGGAATAATGCAGTCTGAGCAAACAGAGTTGTAAGAGATGTTTTAAATTTCTGGATTACCAGGACTTAGTTTCATCTTATGCCCTAGGAATCAAGTTTTTTTAACTTTTTAAAATCATTATTTTCATTACTTAAGTATTGAAAAAATTTTTTATTTTATTTTTTTTATTTTTCAAATCAGAAAATTGAAATAAGTACATACTTGTGCAAATTAATTGAAACAACCACTTTAGTTTCCTTTCTTTCACCATACAGTCAGTTTTAGACCTACTGAATTGACAGGGTGTAATTGATTTTTTCTTTTTTCTTCAAATTAGGTTATTTGCAGTGGTGTGCAGTAATATGAATCTATTTTTGGGTTGTGTGATGAAATTTGTTTGGCCATGAAAGATATTGTCATCTGTGATTGCATCAGATTTTTATCATGCCCAGACACTATTGTCTTGACTGTCAATTAGTTGTTCTATAGCCATTGTCTGCCATGGATGTTACTCTGAGGAAGTGTATGAAAATTTGTAACGCTGCAGGAACACACTAGCAAGCCTTACCAGTGAGCAAATCAAAGTACTAGACTGGCCTGGAAATTCTCTTGATTTTTTTATTGGATGAAAAAAATGTCGATAGTGACAGAATTCTAAGGGAGGTAAATTCGTATTCGATATGCTAATTCTTGTGGATATTATATTCAACAATTTTATGTTTTGGCTGGTTTGTTGAAAGTATTTCTATTAACCAGAAAATATAAATTCAAATTTTAGTCAGCCTGTCATCCCACAAAAAATGTATCATTATCTCTTACTAATGCAATATATATATATATATATATATATATATATATATATATATATATATATATAATTGTACTTATCCTCAAAACAAATATTTCTTCAAATATTGCCGCCTGAATTGAACATTTAAGAGT